TGGACTAGATGATCTTTTGAGGTCCCTTCAACTCCTAATATTCTGTCATTCTGTGATACCTAGCTTTAAGTCTAGCTTTACAAAGACAGGGATCTGCATTGGCACTTCATGGCTCAAAATCACAGTATCTCAACAAAATGGGACATCTTGTTAATCTAATTATGCCTCACTATTCTGTAATGAACTCTGTTTTACTGTATTTAATTAAAAGTTTGGCTCATTGTCACCTTTAACTCCCCCCTCCCCATGGGAGCTCAGTTTTGTTCTACATAGTTTAATGCAGGCTTAAGAGTTGTAAGTGGTCACTGCTACAAAAATTTTCTGAATCTTGCTGATATTGCTGTCAGCACTTCAAAAGGAATAGACTACATGTGAGAAACAAACCCTGTTAAGGACTGCAAGTCAAGACAGTCAAAAGGCTTTGGATAAAAGACAACAATGTGAATTTTTAAACACCCTTTTTTATGAGACTTAATTTTCTTATGAGAAATTTAATTCCTTTCTGACCCTAAATAGGCTGGTAGACTTTTCAGTCACAGCTAAGGACAGTATTGAGTAATCATTAATTTCAAATTAATTTGCACACAGTTCCCTAAGTAAATTAAGATGGTTTCCAATGCAACCTATTACCTGGAAGCAATTAGAATAAAACCAGTTTTGATTCACATGTAATAGGATGGATTCACACAGAAGTTGTCCAGTGGCTCACAAATGAGGTTCATGAAACTATGTACTGAAAAACTATGTACTTGCAATATTGATTGTCCTTAGGTCACTACAACATTGACTACGCAGTTGTCCTGTGTATACGGAAAATCTTGTCTCCAATGTGTGGGTCAGGATTTCCTTGTTTTAAAAATATAAAGCAAACTTAGACTTACACCTTAGAGTACACAGGATATATAAATAATGGAGTTTCCACACTATAACGTTACTAAATATTTCACAATGAGAATATGAATTGCTCAGGGAAAGAATTTACCATGATGACTTGCATGGTAGAAGACAAAACTATTTCAATCATAACCGTTTTAAAAAAAACCAAAAAAAAGTCAACCGAGTCAACCTACCAAATGAGCAAGGCTCCTGGACGTTTACAGAACACTGTTTAGAATTAATTTCTGAGGGTGCGGACCATGTTTTCTTGTTCATATATCACTATTGAGTAGTTTCTTAGCAATGCATTCCCGGTAACCAAGTTCATTCATGCAATACTTACAACAATGAGTTCATAAAGAAATAGTCTTCTTTTTTTATTAGCATGGCAGTCTTCCTTCATCCTTTTCATGACGTGTGCAACTCTCTCTGATTCTTCATCAGCATGTGCCTCATTAAAGTCATCCAAAGACATATGTGAATATCCTAGCACCTCAGCCAAAGCTCTCCAGTCATAAACACTCTCTGATACTGTAGACAAAACTACTGAGTAGATGTAAGTCAGTTTTTTGAATGGCAATGCAATTTGTTCAACAAGATTCCTGGTTGTTAGTTCACTATCAGCAGTGTCCATAGCTTGTTCTTTGGAAATAACTTTTATGTTTTTACAATGTACAAGACCAATCTTTTTTCTAAGAACTCCTACGTACCATTCTTTTATTTTAGTTTGTCCAATGGCTTTTACTTTATCTTCACCAAGAAGTGCTATTGTGTCTCCTTTAAAATATTCTAGCAAATAGTCAATCTTATTTTGGCGTAACACAGTTTTCAAAGCCACTCCATAAGTATTAATACTCAAAGTTTTATCTTGAAACTTTGGATATTTAACTGTTGGTATTAAAAGCAAAGGGGCAGACTTGATTTCTTTGCGGTTTTGTAAGCGTTTTGGCCTACTGATAATTCCACCTAATTTTGGAGCTGGATCAGGAGTCTTAACATGGAACTGTGTTACTTGGCTATTTTTTAAGACTTTAATCTGGACAAGGAAAACAAAGAAATGCATCTCCCTGCAACCAAGCATGGAAAACAAGAATTGGTGGCGGACCATTTCACCAGTTTTCAGTTCCTCTTCTTTAATATTTTTGCTTTGATCTTCCATCTTCACTTCAAAATCTGGATCACAGGATACCAAAGAAATGTTTAGATCTTGTGGCTTTTCAAGTAGAAATGTATGTTTTTCCCACAGCTGAAACACAACGGGAGGCATACTTTTCCCTCCCTTTTTTATATCACAAATTGTGAGTTTTCCTGGAATGTAGTTATGACCGAAGACTGTAAAAACTGCTGTAAAAGATGGATGAATATGTTTGGGACCATAAATTCCAACAGAGACCATTCTATGAACATAGTCCCAGACATTAGTTGCTGGAGGCTGGATTTTGTTTGCTTGTACAGCAATCACTGCATACATCACATGACTTAGGTCCATTAGCTTCACTTGTATGGTATCCTGATATGTGTAGCAATTCTCTAGCTTCTTAAAAGGCCCTTCTTTACTGAGACTAAAAAAACACACAATATCACTCATTACTTGGCTGAGTGGATCGTTCTTCAATTTAGCCGCGACTTTCACTTCTAAGAAAATGGCTTCCCACGTGTTCAGGTTGCTCAGCGTAAGTTCTATCAGAGGACTTATGGTGCTAGACAGATCATTGTTGAATGACGATGGAGGGTTAAGAATAGCCTTTAAACCAACTTCTTGGATTTCCCCAGGTAATACATGACCCACAGGGACATGAACATTGATATCTGAGTCAGGAAGCTGTACTGAACCCCCTTCATGATTCAGTCGACAAACTACATGAATGTCTGTAGCTTGTGTTTGTGCCCATCCAGGACTATGGCTCATGGCTTCTAAATCTAGGCAAGAACGAGTGAGTTGTCGCTGACTCAACCAAGCCATCTTGTAAGCTTCACGGTCTTTCTGAAGCATTATCACATCTGAAGCTGTAGTTTTTTGAGGTGTTGTCTTGCAAGAGTTAAATCTTCGGTTATCAACAATATCCAGAAAGTCAGAGATACTCTTGGATCGTGCAGATCTTCTTGCTGAAGTCCTTCTTAGAAGACAATCAATATCTAGCTCATCACCTGAGGAAGCCAAAGAATCCCTGTTGCTAGAAACTTTTGAGAACAAATAGGACTTTTCTTTGAATACTGAAAGATATTTATTATTTTCACTTCGATTTGAAGCAGCTATGTCATGTACGAAAGGGTTGGAGGCTGACAGTTCATTCCAGAAAGGATTAGTCTTGGAAACAGGATGGGCATGTTTGAATCCATTTGTCCAGTCAACACCCAAACCTAGTTTATTTTCATTGACATCTGTTTAAAAGGAAAAAAAAAACAAAAACAAAAAACCAACAAAAAAAAAACAAAACAGAAGCATCTAAAGCACTGAGACTTGAGACATTCTATTCATTTTCAACTAGTAGTCTGTTAAGTTAACAAGTGACTAAATTTATCTTCCTAAATTACATCTAGATCATTTATATACTTCTCTTTCAGATTTGTAAAGAGTATCAATTTTGATTTTTAACTAGCATTAAGAATGTTTGTTAATAGAAAGAATGCTAACAAATTAGTGCTGAAGGATGTAAAGCATATTCTGCAAGGTGCTGATCATTATTAACTTCTATTGCTATCAGTTGGCATTGGGTATGCTAAAGTCCCATTAGTTTTAAACCCTTACATTCCAGTAATCTTTGGCATTTTACTAAATACCTTGGATTTCTTTCCTTTGTTTCTGACTCTCTGGAAGATTAATCAACTACTGTTTCATTTTTAAAACACTGTAGACAGTGCAGATAAATGCACGATTCAGGATTCCTTTTCATGCTAATGAACATGCATTTAATTGATAACAGCTCTCTTATAATTTATCTCAGCGTCTGTGGAATTTGTTATACTAACTTTCCATTAAGAAAAAAAATATTGATTGGTATAACTTACGAGGTCTTGTACAATTTGAAATTTGGAGAGAAATCTTTCTGTGGCTACTATTTTTTCAGAGATTGTACTTAAATAGGCAAATAGGGGTGTATAAGTGATATTTAAATAAGCTTTCTAAGAAAACTACTCATTATTAACAGTAATGTATATTTGTTATGAAGACAAGATGTTCATATATTTTATATTAATAACTCTTCACAGAAGCTTATAGGTTGATTAAGATGCACACTTCTTGTAACAAACAGACTATCTGCAACTTTTTTATCCTGAGTTCCTATTACTTCAGTTTGCTGTTTTTTTGGGTTTTTTTGTTTGTTTTTTTTTTTAATATATCTAGAGATTATACTATCCCTTCTTTCTACATCCTTGTAAATAATTTTAATTTCAGAGGGAAAATTCAGCATTTCTATTCTCTCAGCATATCTATATCCTTAATTATTACACTATCCATAGTACTTTCCATCTCCAAGCTTACTAATTATTGCTCAATTGCAAAAATGACAGTGCATTCAGCCACAAAAACAAAAAGAAATACTAGCACTTTTCTTTTTGTTTCAGTTGTCATGAATTGTGACAAAAAGCCTAAACCATGAAGTTTTTCCACAGTTCCAGAAAAATCCCAATTTGGTAGAACCAAAGTAGAATTTTCCTGCTTCACTAGCATTGTCTTGACAAGAGACCTCCAGGTTAGCTGCAGGGGGAGTGTGAGCCCAGGGGAAGCCTCCCCCCTCCTCGGACACCCAGCCTTGGCCAGGGCCACCAGATGGGATGGGGCTACTTATGCACCAACTGAAAAGTCCTTTTGTTTCTGCTTGCGAGATTATTATTATATATTTAAAAATAGATTAATTAATCCCAAAAGAAATGTTACGGTTCTGGTTTGTTTCCCGATCCTAAAGGGCATCACATATTACTGGAGTGTAAGATATTAGTGAGGAAATAATTCCTGCTCCCCAACTCAAACAGCAAGTGGCAGGCTTGCCATTACTCACATGTGCTATTGGACAAAAAGCTAAGAGCATGCCTACCTTGTGGAGAGGAATGTTTCCTTAACTTTGAGTTAAAATAGCAATGACAGTAAATCAATTTTGCTGGGACTCCAGTTTTTAAACTGGGCTAACTCCAAAATTACCTTGCCTTCTAGGTTCTTAAAACCTAAATTAATGTAGTTTGACTAAGAAATACCTCTTTTCTTGCCTGTCTTGACCCTCAGTAAATATACCCTAATAGCATTTATCCATGTAAGGTTTATGATTCCAACTTTTTCTCCCAACCTGCCTGACCTGCATTTGTTATGGCAGGAGACAGGGGACTTTTCTTATATATCAGCAAGTTTCTTCTGGGGGACCTTGTGACAACCCTTTGTTTTTTGACTCCAGAGACATCTGTGATTGCCTGAGTAGTGCAAAACCCAAACAATTTAAATAAAATAAGTAATTAAAAAATTGTCTACAGGGGTTTACAGAGTAGCTATAGCTCCTAACACTATTAAGAGTTTTGCAGAAATACAGGCTTTATGTGGAGAGCCTTAGTGCAGAAAATAGCAGAAGAGACATACTGTAGCTGGCTGAAGGTGTCCGGTCATCCACATCAATCAAAGTTCCCTCTGACCTGCTCCGTGGAATCTCTCCACTCATAAGGGAATCTGCTCCACTACTGGAAGTGTTCTCTTCCTAGGAAACAGTTAAACATGTAAAACATCAGCAAGTATGCAATTTGAGAAAGGGGAAACTTGAAGAATCATTGAGCTCTGCTCCTGGGATGTGACCCAAATGAAAACAAAGGTGAAGTTATGGTTTATGAGTAAAGTTATGGAGTCTGCCCAAAAGCATCACAATCCTGAGTGAGTCTTACTATATAATTTGCACTAAAGGCACCCAATGCTACAGCTGCAGAACCCCAGTCCATAGTGAAGTCAAATAACTCACATAATTAAACGTCTTGCAGTTGGAACTGAGCCAATTGTAAAATAACTACTGTTCATGAGGTCCTGAATAAAAACTTAAAAAAAAATAATTCTAATTCCTGTTTTCAGATAAATTTGACTAGAATCATTAAAAGTGAAGAGATAGATATGTTTCTTCCTTTCCCAATTAAAATAAAATATTTCGAACCCTTTCTGGTTTATTATTCTTCCTATGCTCTTCCCTTAGTGAACATCAGGCCAGATTTTCCTTTTAATGTCTACAAGAATGACTTTTAAATATTCTTCTTCAGGGCCCATGCCAGCACAGTAGCAGCCCAGGAGAGGACATTCAGGTCTCTCCTCTTCCTTCTTCTGGCCACAAGAGGTTCTGTTTGGTTTTGACACAGTTTGCACGTGGAATGGGCCACATGAGAGCTGTAAACCAGATGCTAAGGTTGAAAGAGAGTCAATAGCAAACATATCACAAAGGCAGGCCAGAAGAGGCTTTGCTCTGAGACAGACAACAGAATGAACCTTTCGAGGTCCCACTGCTTAATGCTATTTTCAGCTGCCCAGAAAGAGGAGTTGAAGGGTCTTCAAAGGAGCTGGGTGTCCTATGTGCCAAAGTTACTGTGTCCCTGAAACAGAAACTGGAGACAATGCAGTCTTCTAGACTTTTTTGTGCAGAAGAGCTCATTAAATCAGTGCTATGAACCAAGAGATCATTTAATGACTTTCCCAGAATCCTCTCACTGGATACTTAGTGGGGTATAAATGCTGATGGGCAATAGATACATTTAGATGTAAGAATAACAATAAAACAAAATAAACTTAAACAATAAAAAACATATACAAAAAAAGAGAAAAGGTAAAAATCCAGAATTTTTTGGGGGTCCATGCACAGGATACAACAGCCAGCTTTGTTCAGGAGTTTGAAATATTTCATACTGTTACTTCTGCTGCAGCACTTGAAGCCTAAGCAGACCTCATTTTACCATGTTTCAAATGGAAAAAAAAAAATAGATGCATTTGGCCTGGTTTCTTACTGTGTAAGAAAAAGGAATTTTCAGTTACAGTTCTAGTAAGTGAGTTATGGGAAAAAGGAAGCATAACTTATATCAAAGCATTACTGAATAGAAACTGGAAGCCAGCTGTCTGTTTCCATTGCACAATGCCATGGTTTAAGACACCTTTTTTTTCCAGTTCAACTGTAAATTGGTACTTTTTTTGTCTTCCCACAAAAGCTACCTTCAGCTAAAGGCAATCTGTTCAGGTGCTGATTTGCACTCAGGCAGGCCAGGAGGCTGAGGTCAGGCCACTATACTATCACAGGGCTGTATGGACTTTCAGGTTACTCTGTTACCAGAAACCTCAGATGTTGGCCTTAGAAGTCCTGATTTCAGGTAGCAGTGAAAGCTAGCCTTTAAGACTAATAGCTTGTGGCTTCTGCTACTGATACCCCATCAGAACCACACTGAAAACTACAATGCTTCCTTAATCCCAACATCATAATTCCAAGATCTGACATTCCACACCTGTATACAAAAATCACTGTTCCTTCTGTCTCTGATAACACACAATTTGATAATGTGTAATTTTGATAATGATTTCTTGAAAGGAAGTAAAAATTGCTCTGCTGCTGCATCTCAAAATGTTGAAAAACTGAGCATATTGTAAAAACATGCAAGATTTTTATCTCATGCTTCTACTTCAGGGACTGGGGAGGCTTAATCACACTAGTTGAAGGTATCCATACTCTAAAACTGCAATAAATGTATAAAAAGAAAGTCTACTTTTTACAGTACTGGTGTATTTGTTGCCAGCAATCTCTGAGTGATGACTTATTGATCAATTGACATATTGAACTGCTAAGAGCAGTTCTTTAAATAGTTAAAACACCTGTAATTATTTCAGTAGCTGTATGAAGTGGGAGGCAGTAAGGATGAGGAAAGAACACAAAAGTGCAAGTAGATGCATAGGGGCTGAAATAGGAAACTCATGAGGAAGCGGTAGGAAGAGAGAAAGAAAAACAATTTCTTTACACAGTGGGAGTATATTGACGGAGACATGACAATAAGATTATATGTGGAAGTTTTATAAACGCTAAGAATTTCTGCAAATGGCATAAACCATTTCCTAAAAGTTTCCTCTGGGAACTACTTAAAACCTTCACCACTAGCTTGGCACAAAGGCAGAAAAGGCAGATACTGAAAAGGAAAACCACTTTCAAAAATAAGCCCCCCCCCCCACGCCCCAAAGCATTCCTTGCTATGAAAGCATGATGAGGGAGCCCTTGTGATTGAGGCCTATCTTCAGGCCAGCCAAGAAGAGGAGAAAAGAAGGCAAGAAATAGAAACATTCCTTGGTAAAAGATGACCACATTTGGCCAGCACGTCAAGAGATGTGGGAAATGCCGGGGACAAGCTGTACACGTGCCATCGAGTGCCAGGCAATGTGCATTCTGAACAGTGTAACATGATCTGACACCAGGGGTGGATCCCATCTCTCCTGTGCTCCAGCCTTAGTGCTGGGAATGCATAAATCCCCAGTGCCTTTGTATAAGACTAGAAAAATAAGAAAACCCAATGCTCCCTCTTTTCTATGGGTACATTCTGTGATACAATAGTATCCCAACTGAACCTTTTGATACGACAACCCTATTAATTAGGAACTCACCCGGACAAATCCAGGAGAATGGTCATCCACAAGAGAAGAGAGATGAGTGCATGTGGGATATAAAGCCATGCTGATCAGTGGTGAAGGGGAAAGCTTTGAAACCTTTTTGCTGCAAGAAGAGGGAATGATGTATAAGAAGAATCAGAAGCTAAGCTTTTCATTTGCTGCACCTATTGAGTAAGAAAGATGTAAATTGGCAAGCGCTTAATGGTACAAAAAATGATTTGACTGATAGTATGTCAGCTTACGGTGTGAAGTGTGCAGGGAATGAAGGAATGAAGAGACTGGAAAGACATCAGCTACAGAGGTGACCAGTGAGAGAACCAGAGTGACTGCTGAGAGAAATGGCATTTTTCTGTGTAGAAGCAAGAAACAGTTTGCCAGGTGCACTCTGCCATTCAAGCCTGGGGTGCTTTGCTTGACCCATAAGAGCAGGGGACTTAGGACCCAGAGTGCTGCTGGAGGGCATGTGGCAGTCTTGTTACAGAGGAAGAAAAATGCATTAGAGGAAAAATAAATTCTTAGGTAAAAAGTTCAGTTTTGCAGAAGTCAGGAGACAGATTTGCTGTAAATGTCATTTCTGCTGCATGTGATGCTTCCAGAATTCTCTTCCAGGTCTTTTAAAATTCAAGTGCTTTTTTTTTTTTTTTATTTCCAGTCCCTCTACCAAAGAAAACATGTCCTGCTGAGGTTTACATAGTGGTAAGGAAGAAAACAAGAAAAGCCCAAAAAGCAAACACTTCCCCACTGCCTTTTCCCTCAAAAATGAGAGAGAACACATTCCTTTGTGTTTTTAAAGTATCAACATCCCAAAGAAACACACTAGCAATTTGCCTTTCATTCAACCTCAAGCCCGTTTGGCCTTCTTCAAAAGCAGGTTGTGTGAAGAGCGGAGCCCTTCTGCAACAGTGTCTTCTCAGACTCCTACACTCACCTTACACAGATAGTGCTACTCAGCCATACCATTATTCGCCGTGATTCATAGCCTTTGTATCCAGAGCATGAAGCTTATGCATTTGCAAAGACAGGATAAGCAACACTAGTCAGTGATGGAGGTGCGCCTCATTCCTCAGGCTTGCTTTCAGTTGTCATGGGGAAAAATAACTTGCTAGTTATATGGGTTGGGTTGTTAGACTTACTTTACAAGTTTATTTTTTATAAGAGAGCAAGGTATATTCACCAGAATGTTAAATACAATGTTTCTGATCTGACCAAGTACTGAATATAGTGAATTATTTACATTCTATGAAAAAGAGAGAAGAAAATGAATTCTAAAGAGAAAGCAATACAAAGAAAAGGGATAGTTTCAGAAGGCACTATACATCATCATCAAATCTAAACCCTTGTCCTTTCTCAGATTAACATGTTTCTAGCTAAACATTAGTTACAGTAATAAATAGGTCATATTTTAACAGTGGTACTTGGGGCCTGCAACAACTTTACACAGCTCAGAGTTTGGTGACAAGCAGTTGGACATGAGTTTATCAATCTTTGATTACGGGGCTGAACTGTGGTACTGAAGCTAGTGATAGCAGAGGAGAGCGAATAAAACCTTCAGTTGAAGTGATAAAGTCTTTGACTTATTCTCAGCCTGGTGCATGTGGGGCAGTCAAGGAAATCCAGCTGCATCTCATTCTGAACAGAGACAGAGAGATCTCAACCCTGTATTACTTTGCTAATACTTGGCAGCAATCTTAATGCTTTAGTATGACCCTGACCACTTTGCCTATAATGATAGAAAAACATTTTCAATTAATATCTCTACTAGTTTACTCTGTTGTTAAAACAGTTGCCAAGTTTTTTAAGTTACTTTAAGTAAACTTTTTAAGTTACTACTTACTTTTTTTTAAGTTCTGAAGAATTATCACCCCATGCGATCTGCAGAGCCATTCACACTCATTCCTGAGCCCAGGGTTCAAGTTTTCTGCAGACCTCACAAGTGTCTGGACTCCTGATTGTAACTGACGTAAGTGTTGCTTGTAATACTTCATTTGAGCTAGTGTGAAAGGGTAGAGCTAGTAGTCTCAGCACAACAAAGATGGGAATTGAAGTGGG